AAAAAAACTAAATTTAAAAACACATTTCACAACAAGATTTGCCGAGTCGGGTCTGGGATCCCGAAACGAAATTCAGATAACATTCAAATCTGTTTAAATCTCATCACCGATGAAATATCCGACAATGAAAGAATTTCGGAAAGAAGTCGGGATTTTGGAATGTTAAAAAAAAAAAAAAAAAAAAAAAAAAAAAAAAATGCCGACTCAACCTGAATTTGCCGACTGGATGATATCGCTGGGGGGGTGAGACACCCCTCTCACCCCCCCGTTGGGGACGGGCCTGTTCAATCTGAAGGTGGTTCTGTCACGTTTAGGGGGTGTTTTTCTTATTATGGATTGCAGCCCCTCACTGAGATGGCCCCTAACATGAACCAACCAGTTTATTAGAATATTCTGGGTGATCAGGCGTTGTCTTTCAGTCAACATCTTCATGAAGCGCATGCTGTCGATACCCCTATTTTTCAAGATAACAATTGTTAACAACAATGTTCATCGGGCTGGAAGAATGTGAGATTGTCTTATGAACAATGAGACACTCAATTACATCTCGGCTGGCCTGTAAAATCATCTGACTTGAACCTCATTGAAAATTTGTGGAACATGTTAGAACAACGGGTAAAACGTTGAAATCAGCATCCTCGCAATTTGGTGGATTTGCGTGATCAAATTCTCAGGGAGTGGATTTAACTGGATTCCACGTACCTGCAAAACTTTGTGGATCCACTTCCTAACAAAATTCAGGTTTTTATCAAATCCAGAGGTGGTGTTGCATGCCATTAAAAGATGTTTTTCATGATTTCTCTAAGGGTGACTAGTCCCGCAGTGGACTGATCGTTAAGACACGGTTCCCAGCAGATCACCGAATTCAAGCATCACTGAATGAGGTCAGTGTTTGAATGGGTGACCACTTGCATTAGTCTGCGTAGGGACCGAGGGTATGCGGTATTGGTCCTCGTTGAACTGTTCTACCGTAAAGTGCTCGAATTCGCGTGCAGGTCGTCGGGCTACGGAAGTGGGTGTGCCATCACCTCTGCAGAGGATCAAAATTGTGATGGCATGTCTTCGGATCATCCTCAGGGATGTTTCCCAGACCGTCACCAATAGCCCATTGTGCAGCTCTAGTTCGACGTAAATGAAGTACAACAACATCTAAGGGTGACTAATTTTTTGTCCGGTGTGCTTATTTCTCCATTAAATTTTAGTAGAAAAAGAGGGAAGAAAAATATTTGGAAATAAATAATTTGGTTATGTTTAAATTATTTTCTTTATTATTATACTTAAGTATTATACTTTATTATTATTATATTTTATTATTTATTATTATTCTTACAAAAAATGATTAATCTTTAAATAAAACTACAATTTTATTTTATGGGAATAAGTAATGACATTTTTCGATGGTTGGGAAGAAAAAAAATTTTGTTCTCTCAATTCAAATGAAAGTATAACTTAACAATTACATTGGGAAAAAAAGAAACATAAGAAAATATTCACATCATGAAATTGTATGTAATTTCATAATGTGAACAATGGTAATTGTAAGATTACGAATAACCAGAATAATGACTTTTATAAAATATATTTTATAAACTAACAAATTCAATTGAGATTATGATAAAATTATCTCGATTTTAAGGAAATTTAGAAATACCTTTAAAATTAAAGATAAACACTTGAAATGATATAAAATTTATCAGTAAAATCTTGGTGTAAAGGAAGGAAGAAAATAAAAACTTAACCTATTCAAATATTATTTCTTAGTTAAATTTGAAAATTTCATTCATAAAAATCAGTTGGACACAAAGTACAATTATTTGGAGTAAGATGAAGGAAAATGGATGGTAGCAGAATTCGGTAATATAGTTTTTTTTAGTATTTCTGTGTTGTTACAAAATAATGCTTGGAAGGACATTATAAAACTATTGTTTTATATTTTACTGCTTCGCAGCAATACAGAAAATTGAGTAAAATAATATCGCTGAACTGCTGCCACCCAAATCTTCCTCTTGCTTACTCCAAAGATAAAAAGTAGCCCAAGATAATATCAGAAAACACAAAATCTTTTATGTAGCATCAAAACTAATACAAAATATTATTGCGGCAAACGCTAGATGATATCAGTTTACATAGAATCTAATAGTATATAATGCAGAACAAGCAGTGACAGAGCAGACAACGTATCTTTCTAATATTATAAAGTTGCGCAAGATTTACACAAACGTTAGATGTTATTGATTTTCTGACGTATTATGTCATATAAACATCAGGTGATCTTATATTAACACCTAATATTATGCTCTAATATTAGGTGTTACTGGGGTAGTTCCACTATTAAAACAGTATCGATGACACCAATAATAGTTTGCCAAAATTATTCTGCTCCTTTTCTCCAAAAGATTAGTATTTTATGTTTTCTAAGATATATATCTTAGAAAACATAAAATACTAATCTTCTGGAACACTTCATATATATGAAGCAGGAACAGATATGTGAAGAATTTTAAATTGAAATGTTAAAATTGAAGGAAAAACAGTTTTTAATGATTTACATGTTTCATCTAAATGAATTTGGAATCAAAGTGTTCATTAGTGGAATTTGCTGAAAAGAAACACTAAAACGTTATTAGAAACTTTTTTTTACCATAAATTGAGAAGATTATTAATTTTAATACTAAATGTAATTTTTTAAAACCATTATGATTATAAAACTAAAAAATTTTTTTTTACAAATTTTGGTACTTTCGGTTAGCTAGAGGCAAGGAAATTCTACTATTTTTGCTTTTTTTTTTTTTTTTTTTTTTTTTTTTTTTTTTTTTTTTTTTTTTTTTTGAGATCGTCCATTTTGTTCAATATTTTAAAAAATAAAATAAAAATAAGAATAAAATTCATCTTATACTTTGTCCCGCAGTGGACTGATCGTTAAGACACGGTTCCCAGCAGATCACCGAAGTCAAGCATCACTGGCTGCGGTCAGTGTGCGGGTGGGTGACCCACTTGGATCAGTCTGCGTAGGGACCGAGGGTGTGCGGTATTGGTCCTCGTTAAACTGTGCTACCGTAAAGTGCTCGACTTCGCGGCA